GGGAAACCAACGAGGGCGCCCAATCAACCAACAAAAGCAATCAGCAACGAAGCAAAACAATCAACAAACAAATACACAAAGCGACTAACGGACAGGCGACATGGAAAGGACATGGAAAGGAAATGGAAAGGAAACGGAAAGCAGATGAAAAGGACATGGAAAGGAAATGGAAAGGAGATGGAAAGAATCCTTGCCAAGCCTTTCCATCTCCATAACCATCTCGTTTCCATCTCCTTTCCATGTCGTTTCCATCTCCAATTCCTTTTTATGCCCTTTCCCATGTCCTTTCCATTTTCTTTCCATTTCCTTTCCAACGAGTTAGTCGTATGGGGGCCGAAGGGAGGATGGACCAACCCCCGCGCGCGTTCTCTTTGGGCAAGCCTGGAGCCAAATCATCAGGTTTGGCCTCACCGCAGGGGTCATGATCCACATCTCCTTCAAGAAGCCGCTGTGCCGCATGAGGGACACTCACCGCCATACGCACATTGACACGGAGGAAGCTGTTTTTTTTTCCCCCTTTCTTCCGCGCGAGTGCACAAGTGCTGCATGGACTCAACGGACACTTCGCCAATCCTTCATCGAGGGTGCCCCTGAGCTGGGCGATGTTCTCATAGCTTGGCTTCCCGGGGGCCCATGCGCCCATTTGGCGGCCCGAAAAACTCTTCAGAGAGGGACCCCGAGGAACTTCTTTCACCGTGATCACCCTCCTCTCTCCGCAACTCCGACTCCCGACTCCCGGCTCCGAGGATGCTGCCGACCGCGATGAAGCACGATTCCGAGAACAAATACACCGCCTACGCATTTTTCTGCGGCATGTTTATCATGGCGGTTTCACTGGTGGCGTTTCAGTACTAGCTCTTGCTGCTTCGATCTGACTGTCGTGGCCCCCCTTAGATTGCGACCTGCGAGTTGTTGAAGGAGGCATTCCAAGTTGCCTCCATGCCGGTTGCGCGACTGTTTTGGGGCCGGCGCCTTCCGTGTAGATCGATGGGCCTTTGCCCGGACATGCAACTTGGCCGACCTAAGCAGGTGGATCAGGTGGCAGACGCGCCCGGCCCTAGTGTTGTCCAAGCCTGTGGTTCGAGCTTTGAATATGGAGATGCAATTTGACCCTCTGCGTATGCCGGGGGGGGGGTCTTGTAAGGTACTTCCCATTGTATCGCACCATTCGTTGAGTCATAGATGCGTGTTGGAATTGATCACTTTGTGGTGTCAACCTTGCTTGCTACTCTGGCCGAATGGCGTACACCATTTGATCTCCCGTCAGCCAACTTGCCGCCGAGTGAACTTGCCGCCGAGTGATAATTTGGGCTACAAAACGCTCCTAGATCCTGAATGTCCGGGAAGTGATCTGTTGCAGAGGACATGTGTGACACAATCTGGAAGCTGGAGCTCGATGCTTGCCATCGTTGCCATTTGGTTTGGCGCGTGCTCCATGAATCCTGGACTTGCATGACGTGCATGTTTTGCATGCAATCGGGAGCGATGGTATGTCAGCAAACATTATTGCCCCTTCAAGACCCACAAGTGGGTAATTGGCTTTGCATCGATCGGCCATTGCCCCGTGGTTTATTTTTCCTCCCAGCGCCCATTTTGCTTCTGGCTACCGAAGCAGAGGCTGAGAGTCGATCGGACGGATGATCAATCTTTTGCGCCGACGCCATCCGCAAGCGAACGGCATGTCGACCGGGTGTCAGCATTCAGATTGCACAGAAATGACACTCAGTAGAAAGGGACTGGTGTTGTTCCTGGACAGTCAGGTGATTACCTTATACTGGCTGGCTCAGACATGGGGACGAAGTTCAGGCTCTATGGAGAAACACTTTACATAAGAGATCTGCAAGATGAATCAAGCATGGGCCCGTGACCAGCTTCGGAGCAACCACTCACAGCCGTTCGGTTTGAAACCTTGGGTAATCATGCCGGGGCCGGTTTGGTCTGGTTCGTGCTTTCGCGCGTGAAGCTGTTCAGGATGGGGATGACTCCAGTTGGCAGAAATGGAGCAGATGGACAAGGGGTCCCTTTTCTCCATCATTTTACTGTCTCTAGCATGACTTGTCGGGCCGACTCAAAGTGAATTTCGCTCAGGGGGGCCTCCCTCCCCTGCAGCCCCTGAAACAGAACATACGCCCGTTTGTTAATGGGTGATAAAAGCTGCATAAGCTTATGCTGAGGCGATTCCAAATCTGGAAGCCCGAGCAAAGGCGGACCAAATGCGGCCCCAAGAGGACCTTCCTGGAAGACGTGCATGAAAGGCCTGCTTTTGGTGTCACCCGCTAATCTTGATTCATATATTTGTTGACTTCTGGAATTCTTCTGTGCAATTTGCACAGATAAACCATTGAGTCCCGATATGTGCGAAACCAGTGTTGTCATCCGGTCAGAGGCGAACGCCTCGAGCGAGCACCTTGTAAAGGCTCCGCACCGTCCCACGGTTGATCTGAGTGAATCAGGCAAATGTGAATCCAGGTTGGTTTGGAAGGGTCCTGAAAGGGCCCCCCCTTGATTTTTAACAGCCAACCGTCGGCAATCTGGGACATTTGTCGCAATGTCACTGCTAGGATGCTTGGAACAATTGCGTCCACGGTGGAGCATGCTTGCCTGAGGATTCCACGTTACCTGGCAATACACTTGAAGAATTGACCCGAAATGATTGTTTTTTTTTTTTTTTTTTTTTTTTTTTGGTTGTGTGTTATCGCGTTGTGAGCGGTTGAGTCATGTTTACATTGGTGGTGTGTCTAGCTTTGATTTTTCGTTGTCACTGCGTGGCTTTTTGTTTTGTTGAGGTATTCTTTTCCTAAGTCGGTTTAATGGGGAATGAAAACGAACAACCCCAACGCTTCTTTTGCACGGTCCCCACGCATACCCTTGTAGAAAATGTTGCCAAAAGCGCAAAGCTCCGAGCAAGTCAAGGAGGCGGCAAGGCATGAGAAGTGAGGTCTCAGTGTTGTTGGCAGGAAAGGAGGTGGGGAATTGGCATCAGCTGCCATTGTTGAGGGTCCCCCCCATTTAGGGCCCTGTGGGTGAAGTACTCATGTGCGGATACCTAAAGTTTTGGCGCCTGCTTCGAATGCAGAGGGGAGCTGCCCGAAGAGGTGCAAGAAGTCCGTACAGCACGCGCCACAAGGGCGCCACAAGGGCGCCCTTGGGCGCGAGAGTCGCGAGGGCCATCCTTTTCCCGATGCCGAGTCTGGGGCAATCCAGGAAATCCATGACCCAAAATGGTGCTGGTCATTTTCGCGTGTGGGAAAGTTAATTCTCAAGGCGTCAACCTTATAGTCTCAACTTTCAGCCTGGTGCAACAGACATGGCCATTGGATGAGATAAAACAAGAAGCCCTCCACGCGCAAGTCACAGTTTCTTGCGGGTTTGGGCAAGAGACAAACTCTGCTGTTGCAGTCCGCGAAGCAACACCGTCGCCTTTGTGCGGGAGGTATCCCCCCCCAAACAAGAATCCATCAAAGCAAGGAACGGAAAACAGGGCCTCTTTGGAGAAAAGGGCTGTGGCTCAAAACCATGTTTACCAAAATGGCACCTTGCTAAATGGAAAAGACAAAGACCTGCGGTTTGCCCTGGCTCTTGAATGTTGAGCCATAGCCAAAGTACTGGTAACGTATGTCAATATGTGTTTGCCGAAGTTTTCAACTTCAGCTCCAGGTTTGTTTGTGGGAGCTTGACAGATAGAGTGCAACTTGGCCCGCGCCCACAAGCCGAAGGCGAGCGAATTGGACTTGGCGGTGCCTTTCGGGAGCAACATCAGGGCCCTTTGCCCTACCTCCCCTCCTTCTGAGGACAACTGTCAGAACCTTCTAAGACTTTAAGAGGAGACTTTAAGAGGCTTTCTACCCCTCCCCCGTCTTTCTAAGAGAAAAGATAAGAATGTAGGAGGCGAAAGCAAAGGGCCCAAAGTCTGGTTTTGCAATTGCCAAGGTCTCTGCATTTGGCACGAGCCTGCGGCCTTTGGTTTCCCAAACACGGGGCGGCCCGAGATTCGCCTCCCTCGCCGCGCGAGAAAGTCGGAAACAGCCGAACCAAAAAGAACGAAACCGTGTGATCAAGGGGTTTAAGAGGCTATGTGACCCAGTAGTGCCCTTTCTCACCCCTTTTTTGGTTGGGAGGGTTCCCCTGCTAAAATAGACTACAGAAAAAGGGTACCCTTATTCTAACCTCTCTACTGGAGGACCTACCAGGGCTCCTGAGTTCCTTCCCCTTAAACCATCACCCCCACCAAGGGATATTCACGTTTCATGGGCCAAAAAGGTGACGTTTAAAACCACCCGTCTCTTTCTTCGGACTGCACCCGTGTGAGTGTCGAGGCCTCACCAAAAAGGGAAGGGAAGTAGGACCCCTGAAGGAATGTGGGTTGTCTCTGGGAGAATCTCGAGAATCTAACACAGGGGCTCCCTTGGAAAAACCCGTCTATGAGAAGCGTTGGCTTCTGGAAGTTGGAGCGTTGCATCCATCTGAAATGAACAAATGTCTTGTTTTTGACCCCTTGCCGGTTTTTCCCAGTCGACTTCACTACTGGTTTTAAAGGGAATCGATTTCACTACTGGAAATATGTGTAATGTTTGTTTGGTCCGGGGGTCTTCGCCAAATGGAAGGTTGGAAAGCTCCGGCCAGGGTGGTGGCTCTGTCACTGAACAATTCGCCGTCCTTGAGTTTGAGTTAAGATAAGAAGGGTCCCAGCCCTTGGACTTTCAGGGGAGGTGGGTCGAGGGCTCTGCACATGGGTGTCCTTGTTTTGGTTTGCTTAGAAAATAGAGGGCGATTCCTGGTTTAGATGGGGGTTATGCCCCATCTACCAGGGAAACCCATCTGATTTTCCAAAAGGCCACATCCAAAGTTGTTGTATTAGCCACAAAGTTGCTAGTCGGAATGTAGGTGTTCCTGCATATACCGCAGTTTTCCTATGCCTTTTTTCCCGTTTCGTAGGCGCGACCTTTGTCTCAAGATACTCACCAGCCATGCGCAACTCAGATGCTACACGCCCTGTTCAGGTTCTGCGCAACGCAGTTCCCATTGGCGGGAACCTGCCTCTCTTCAAAGAGCGCCTTGCCTGGGATCTTCCTGAGCGAAGGGTGCTGGGTTTTGCTCGAGAGCTTGAGCCGCCCTGGGAGCCCTATATATCCCTTACCATGTGGGAGGTTTTCTGAGTTGCTCACTGTCGCCGGTAGGATTCTGTATCGGATTCTGATGGGCTTGGCTGGTGGGGCGGGCTTATCATTACAGTTGATGATACGCAGAGGATATTCTGGGTCAGGGTGAATTGTGACCCTCATGTGGAATGTGTTGGCTGGTCATAAGCCACTGGAAAATCTACAAAAAGTTGGATAGACTCCAAGGTTCTGCTGGTTGTCCTGTAGTAGGTTTCGTTGCAGCAGGTTGTTTTGACGTCTTGCACCAGGGTTTCCTGGGTATATAAGACATGTCGGAGGCTGCCCAATCCTCCAATGTTCCATTTGGGGAACATGCAGAACTTGTGGCTTGCATGTCACGCTGTGGCTAGCCGCACTTTAGGGCAAACCCCACTCCAGTATTGCTATGCGCATTGACCGGGATAGGTGTCCTTCCCCGGCCCGTTCTTCACCCCAGTTCGGTATAGGTCAGCTTGCAGGGCACCCCAGTGTGTATTGACCCGAGACTTTTGTTCGAGCCCATTTCAAAGAGGTGATGTCAGGATGTCAGGACCCGAAACCCATCTCCAAGTGGCCAGCTTTCGCTTTCAGAATTTCAGGTTCTGCCAGCCCTTGGCCGAAGACGCTCGCTGGGAGTTGCGGGTGACCGATGTCACCCCCAACAAAAAGGCCGGGGGGGGAACGATATCCAACAACGAGGCCTTCGTTGGGACGTGCCAGGGTCGCTGGGGCGCGTGCTCTTTTTGTTTTGTTTTTCGGGAGGGGATGTTCGTTAACCTCGTCCTCCTTCCCTAACCCTCACCTATCCACTTCACAAGACTATCAATCATCAACAGTGGATAGGTGGGGAAGGGATGGGATGTAGGTAGGAAGGAGAAGTTATTAGACGTGGAATCATAGAGTGACCACATGCGACATGCGAGAGGAAAAGATATGGCATTTGGTGGGCTTCCTACGTCCTAATCTCTGTCCCTTTCATCCACCTCGCTCATCACCAGAATGCGAGGTAAAGAGATGAAGGAGAGGGACCGAAAAATCTCTCTATCTGATACGCTTCCTCACCCGCCAGCCACAACGGGAAGTGAAGGCTGGAGAGTTGGGTGAGTTATAGAAGTGTAAATGAGACAGAGAGATGGGCGGCGAGATGTCTGGTCCCACTCCTTCCGCTGTCATGTCGTATGTCCTTCCATCTCTAAACCAGCCCCGACAAAGGAAAGGTGGGCTGGAAACCTAATCCAACAGTGGATAGACACAGCTAGCAACCACAGGCAGTCGTTCTGAAACCCATGTTGGGGATTTCTTCATTTCATCTGTGCGCAACAAGAGGAGAGCTCCATAGGCCCCTTGTAAGCGGCTCAGGGCTTGCCGACGAAGAGCTTCGACGAGACGCTGCTGCTGAGGCGGAGAGGGTTCGGCGGTTTGGCCTCCAAGGTTTGGGCATGCTTCTGAAGACCGGTTGCTTGCCCTTTGCCTTCCATTTGCTGAAATGAATATGGTTTATTTTCCTCTGTTGGTTTTAAAGGGAATCTATCACCACTGGATTAAAAAAAAGGAAACACACAAAAAACAGAGGGCTTAAGCAAATGGAGGTTGCTTTTCCTTTCTTCAACAATGACAAGGGGGATAACAATGGAGATCATGGGAGTTTGAATTTCGGACGTCCCCATGTGTGCAGCCCCCGCGACTTTGACCGAGGGCGGTCAGCCGAGGACGTGCTTGGCTTGTGTCCAATGCTTCGGACAACTTGGCGAACACCCGATTCGGTTGCAAAGGAAAGACAGATGGCTGGGTCTTCTTTCAAAAACGTTTCCCTTTAAAGCCACCAAGCGGGTCCCCTAAAAACAAGACACGCCCACGCGCGCACTCGCGCAGTGCATCCGCAGGCCGAAGCCAAATCTGCCGCGGACTTACCATTTGAGAAAAAAAGGCCAGGTGCTCGCGGGGCGGAGCTGTGGATGGACCGAAATCCATTGCGCACCGTCTGGCAATCCCTGGAATCATAGGTGTCCTTTGTGGTGGTTTTGGTAGAGAAATCGATGCCGATTTTTGGTTTGCCTGGTGGCTTCATCATCTACCAGGGCCATCTATTTCCCCTAAAAGGACACCTGTGCCTGGAATGATGATTCCCCTGTAAATGCCAACAAACAATGGTTTCCCCTGGTTTCAAAGTGCTGCAGGATTTCGTCCATCCACAGAGTTGGCGAGGTCCAGCAGTCTGAGCTGGTCTATTAAAGTTCCCGCTTTTGTTGTTTCGCCCTAGCCCATCCTGTTCAAGAACACATTGTCATGAGTATCCCTTAAATCTCTTGACACGGTTCTATTGCACATCTACTTGTGGCATTACGTTGTATCAGCTTTCAAAGGATGATGGCAAGCGATATGTCTTTTTGCCACTCCTCCCAAACGATGTTTCTCTCCATCTTGCCGAGAAGGGATTCGGTTTCTGAACGTATCCTCTACCTTGCTCATGCATTCTTTCTGCCCACGTCAGATTCTAGGCGCTCTCTGAATCCGATTTGGGTTTGGTTGCAGCCTGGTGACCTGGCGGGCGCCGCCATGTGCTTCGTGGGGACGGTGACAGCGTATGACTGGATTGAGCTTGGGGATCATTGCTGACATTCTGGTGGGGATTCGGCAATGACAGCTCGTGTGATACAAAGCCTCTTCCTTCTGGTTCGGTGACGCTGCGGACGGCTGTTTTCGCATTGCTTGTTCTTTGTTCTGTGCTTTGTCTAGTTTTCGGCTTGCTCCTTCTTTTCTCATGTTCAATGGTTTTACTGCACTGCACGTTGTTGCCTCGTACATTTTTAAGGGAAACCTGCCCGGGACAAGCAGCGTTGGAAGCATTGGACGTGCTGCCCGACACTTTCATGGTTGTACTCTGCACAGGCGATGATGTTTTTTGCCACCCCCAATCCAAGAAGCTAAGTTACTTGCCACAGCAAACTTCTTTTCATCTGGCTTCGGAGAGTTGTTGTGACCACGGCGGCCAGAGTGAGGCTGGATGAATGACACTTCAGTCCTTGTTTGGCTTCTTGTTTCGTTGGGAACATGAGAAAACCTTCAACCTATTGAAGACCCCATTTCTGGATGGCAGAGGGCGTGCGCTATGGGTGTGCTTGACGGAGCCTTTTTCGGTGTCTCAGAAAGGGAAGCCACCCGTTCGGAGGGAACCCTCCCCCGGCGCTGCCAGGCCTTCCTGCGCCAAAGAAGTTCTCAGCGGACTTCTGGCGCCCCGGCACCGAAGTCGAGCGCTTCGTGCTTCAACGGTCAGAGCTGGCCGAGTTGGTTTGGGTCCAAGGTTTTGCAGAAAGTCTTGAGAAACTTGTTCTTTCTTTCTTTTTGCGTGAGGTGAAAAAGGCCCTGCTCCAGTTGTTTGAGAAGTTCGAGGGTTCTCTCCAGTGACGAGTTTGGGATCTGTTTGTCTTTACTGGGGGTTCCAGTTTTGATTACCCTCCGAGTCACCAGTTGTTCGGGCCTCCAGTCAGGTTCCGTGATCGCCGTGTGAGCGCAATCCGAGCCCGGAAAGTGTCGCCGCTTGCGTTGCCATTTGCAAAGTTTCGCCGCTTGCGTTGCCATTGGGATGCAAAGCCTGTCTTGGCAAAGGTGCTGGGAAGTGTGTGTGTGCCACATGCCTCTTGGGATTTGCTTTGCTGCCGTTTGTGAAAAAAGAGGAGTGAGTAGGAGGGGTCCTGCGGAGGCTTCCGGCACAGGCTTGGGTCTCCGTATGTTCAAAAGGTCCCCACGCGAGCTTCTCAACTCGGATCTCACGTGCACTCTGCAAAGGTTGCTAATGTGGTGAGGAAAGCATTCTGCGGGTATGTCATGTTTCAGACACGGCGGCAAGCTCACACTTGTCCCTGCGGGCGCAAGCTCTGCCAACTTAAAGACTGTAAGGCAGACCAAGAAGTAAAGCAGCGTTCCATGCGTGTGTCTAGCGCAGGGATTGTGGAAGATTATTGTTGCAGGCTGCGCTCCGTGGGGGTTGCTTCCTTACGAAAGCTGCTCCATGATGTTTGCAACGTATTTCCACTGGATGGATGTGTGTCACGCGGATAGATTTTGGCGATGACTTTTGTGACATTGCTGGACTGCGTTAAAATTCGAGAAGCCTCGCCAGACATGTGTGGCTTCGACGCTTCTTTGTAGATGATTGCCTGGGCGTGCGCTTACATTGTTCCACACCGTGTGTGTTTTCGCTCTGAGAGCAGGAAGGATTTCTTGGGCAACGGTTGGCAAGAGCCGAGATCCTGGGTTCCGATTGGGGAGACACAAAAGCTGAAGGCGTTCAGAGGTCGAAGCATGTCAAACAACATCTTCTGGACCACGAGCCGAGGACGCGAAAAGAGCAGAAGCGGCAGGACGCGAAACGGTTGCTCCGCTATGGCTGAAGATGGCTGAAGCGAGGGGCTTTGTGTACTTTCTTCTTTTGCCAGACGTTCTCTATCCAAGAAGCTAAGACTTTGACATGTCCAGCTTTGACGGCCCAGGAGTTGGATCAGAAACTCCAGCTCATTCCTCCCAAGTGGTCGCAAAAACCGTTTTCTGACGTCCCTTCAGGCTCCGTGCCGGTTTCTTACGGGAAATGCACCGGACGCCCCGTGAGGAAGTGGAAAAAGCTGAGAGGATGATGGAGGGCTTGGCGTGGCCGCCCCGAAAGCCGTTGACGCTCGGAGGCGGGCGAAAGTTGGACCAGGCTTTGTCTCATGGAAAGTTGGACCAAAGTCGCTTTGACTTCTTCGACGGGTTTTCTCTGAAGCCCGAACAGAACAGGTGGGCCGGGACGGAATAATTCCTAGCGTTGCGATCGCGCAACGGAAATCCTAGCGTTGCGATTGCCGCATGATGCACATGTGCACATTAACATATAGGTTTCTGCCTATGGCATCGCGAACTCACCTGGAGGTAAACGAGCCCACCATGGTGTAGGTCCTTTACCTGACGATCGACGATCCCTGATTTCATCCCATAGTTCAGGGTTTGGAAGTGCAAAGTTTGATTTCATCCCATATTCAGGGTTTGTTGCAAAGGCACTGGCAGAGGCACTTCTTCCGGGTTCTTCTTGGCAAAATTCCGCGGTTCTTCCGGGCAAAGGCACTGGCAGCCATTGTCAATTCGTTTGCGAGTATTAAACTTGGCCGCGGACGCAAGTGCTCGATCGGTTTTGCCGCTAAGGATGTGTCAAACAAGCCAACGTCGAAACAGATTGAGGAAGCCCTCAAATCAGTTGACACTTCGACTTTGAAGACCTGCTTGGAAACAGTGGACGACGATGCAGTTGATTTGGTACCGAGCCAAGCCAGCAGCCAAGAGAACGACGACCAAGCAGCCGGCAGTGCACGCGACAAGCCAGCGCGTGTCGGCAAAAAAAGGAAAGCAAGCAGCTCCAGCAGCTCCAGCAGTTCTTCGTCTTCATCCAAAGCGCCTCCCACAGCTCCAGCAGTGACAGCAAAAGCAAAAGCAAAAGCAAAGCCAAAGGCCAAAACAAAGGCCAAATCACCACCACCGGCAAAAGCGAGTCCGAAAGCCAAGCCAGCAGCCAAAGGAAGAAACGAGGGGCTGAGCCTGTTGAACCTGCACCTGCACCGTCCAAGCCTAAAACACAGCGCGCCTTGGTAAGGGTTCTTGCTTTTTATTTGCTTTGCATTCCTGCATTTTCGTTTCATACATATTTCATACAGAAATCCATTCAACTTCCTTGGCTCTTCACGACCAAGGCATCGATACATCGAATGTGAAGCTCAAAGGAAATTTGAGCCGACCGGAGCATGATTGTTTGCTGTGAGGAAAACCAAGTGCCGCGTCGACAGCCGAATGCCTTTCCATGCCTCAAATACCCCTTTGGATGCTCCTTGAGTAAGGCTTATATAAGGCTTATACAAACCATACATAAGCCCACACAAGCCTTCCACAAGCCTTTTGTAAGCTTTGCGCAAGGAGGCTTTTAGGGTGCATTTTTGGGGTGTATGCTGAACTTCTTTGACATTGGTGTCGAGAGTGGTTCGGGCCAGGCGACTTGGCCGAGAACGGCGCGGTCGGGGCCACAGCCGGGAGTCAGTCGCGCATGGTGGGCCCAGCAGCCGAGAACGGCGGGACAGAACGGCACCCTGGACAATTTCTGCCGGGAGGAGGTTGCATGGTGAAGATTCCATAGGAACATCCTTCTTTCAGGTTTGGGATTCCATAGGAACACCCTTCTTTCAGGTTTGAGATTCCATAGGAAATCCTTCTTTCAGGTTTGAGATTACATAAGAAATCCGTCTTTCAGGTTTGAGATTCCCATAGGGAATCCTTCTTTCAGGTTTGACACAATCTGGCCATCGTATGATGCCTGGCAAGCTTTGTCGAAAGCTCAGATCGACTTCTCCTCCTCAGTCATCGACCCAGAGCCGCGTGCTCAGTGAGTGAAGGTGTGAACCTTGCCAATGGTCTAGATTTGTCGAGCCAAGGGACATGGGCGAATCTTCTCACAGATGCCAACCAAACACATATTCAACCCCCCCAGGCGTTTTCAGAATTGCAACGTCAGGACGGGCGAAAGAATAGAGAAAGACGTCGCTGACTTTCTTTGAAAAGAAGATTCATTTGAGGGCCGTCCTAAAACCCCAGTCTTCGGCTTCAATTATCGCAGAACGGGGAGAAGTAAAAGTTGTCAAAGGCTGTGCGCGCGCAAGGACGGCCCAAGGGACGCGCAAGGCTACAGTTTTGAAGGGTTTCATGTACTGATGTTGCCTAGCTTCATGAAAGGAGGTGGTATCTTTTTGCTGTACTTGTGCTTTTCGAATGTTGCTTGGGTCATGTGTAGGTCAGGTCATGTGTAGGTCACAAGCTTGTTTGAAAAGGTGCGGCGTTTTCTTCAGTCAGACGCCAAACGAAGCCAAAGCTTCTGCGATCATGACTTCAACAATCAGCAACTGACACGACAGAATCCGTGCAAGCCGCGCGCAATCCGCGCGCAAGCCGCGCGCAATCCGCGCGCAAGTTGCGCGCAAGTTGCGCGCATTGCGCGCAAGCACGAGAAGCCCCAGCAAGACATCTAGCCATATGCTGTCTCGGATGTCCTTAGCGGCGTGATTCAAGCAATGGACTTTAGAGCCTCCGGCTCAGTCCGCCGACATTGTCCTCTCCCTTTTCTCCTTCTTCCCTCTCCCTTGTCTCCCTCGTGCGTTCTGTCGTCCTCTCTCCCTCCCTCTGCTCCCCATTCTCCCCATCCCCCCAAGCCTCTCTCTCCTCAATCTCCCACTCTCTCTCTCTCGCTGTCTCTGTTTCTCTGTCTCTTTCTGTCTCCCTGTCTCCTTCCTGTCCACGCCCCTCTACAGAAAAAGGGCACCCTAATTCGAACCTCTCTACTCTCTCACTTTCTCGCTCTTTCTCTTTCTCTTTCTCTTTCTCTTTCTCTCTCTCTCTCTGTCTTTCTGTGTCTCTCTTTCTCAGTCTCCGTCTTTCTCTCTCTCGCTGTCTCTCTCTCTGTCTGTCTCTTTCTCTGTTTCTCTGATTCTGGTTCTGTCTGTGGCTCTGTCTCTCTCTCTCTCTTTCTGTCTCTCTCTCTGTCTCTCTCCCGCTCTCTCCCTCTCTCTCTCTCTCTCTCTGTCTCTCTCTCTGCATTGCACGTTTCTATTCACCCAAGGGACTTTTAGAATCCCGAATTTCGTGCAGCCAACACTGCACGAAAACGCCGTCTCCAAGATTCTCCAAGCACACGGTGCACATGCCGGTGCAGGTGCCCGGAGCTTATGCTCGATATCTTTGAACAAGAAGTTGGCAGAAATTAACGCTTCGATATGGTGACAAGGACGCCATCAAAGAACCAATCGACGAAGCTCTTAAGGGTGAAAGGCCAGTACTCCAAGGTTTTGGCATTTTGCCGTCCGCGCATGTAATTGTGCAAGGCCTGGTTGACTTTGCCTTCCTGCCATCCTTCAATGGGACTCCCTGGGGTGTGGATCTGTGCGCTATAGCGGCGCAGTGTGTCAAGCCGAAGGCTGGACGAAGGCCAAGCCGAAGGCTGGACGAAGGCTGTGCATTTTGCGACATCGAGGAAAGGCATTAGCGGGCAGCGCGACAGTTTTTGCGGCAGCATTGTTGTTTGTTTGTTTTGGACTTGTGCGCCGTAATTGTGCTTGCAGTTGTCAGCTCGTCATTGGCCTTTGCTATCCGAGCGGATCAAATTGGACATGGAGCTTGCGAAGAAACCGGTCGAGGCCGGGACTCCGGAGATCGACTTGACCTTCGTCTCTGCGCGCAAGCGGCCAACACGTTGCATTTGTGACGCGTGTCGCACTCAGCTGCATTCGGTTAGGACCAAATGTGTTTAAAATGTTGTGTAATTCCAGTTTCTTGGGGTCTTCGATTGCAGGGGATTGATGTCACATGTGCCAGACTCAGCTGCATTCGGTTCGGACCATTTGTTTCAAATTGTTTCGTAATTTCAGTTTCTTCAGGTCTTCGATTGCAAGGGATTGATGTCATGTGCCGCACTCAGTTGCCTTCGGCTTGCACCAGATGTGTTTCCACATGTTTCGTTATTTCAGTTGCTTCAGGTCTTCGATTGCAAGGGGTTTATGTCACATGTGTCACACTCAGCTGCATTCGGTTTGGACCAGATGTGTTTCAAAATGTTTCGTAATAAGCGCGGAGACTCCTTCCGCTCCGCTCGTGCTCCAGCGCTTGTGCGCTTGGGGCGCGAGGGACGTTGAGCGCTTGTGCGCTTCAACGTCCAGGAGCGCGAAGGGTTTCGGTTTGTTTTTTATTTTTTGTTGCTGACAGCGTCTCGGGAAAGCGATGTTTGGGTTTGCTTTGTTTTTTATGCCATTGGAGGTGCAGAGAAAGATCCTCAAGGCAGATCAGGTCGAAAGCCAGATCAGACTGGACATGGCTGCCGCCCCAACGCTATCCACTACTCCCGCTCTACTTCAAAAGCTGGTGGATCTCTTCCAAAAGCATGCGGGAATGTTCTCGACTGGAGATCCGCTGCGCTCCCACGCAGGTGACATTTGTCCTGGCTTCGCCACCCCACGTGTCCGGCTTGGCTCGCAGCTGCAGCTCCAACATCTCGTCGTAGTATGTGTCCTTTCACAGATCTCCTCAGACTGCTGGCTCAGTTCGACAATGGACTCGGCGGTCGAACCTAGCACTTTCTCGGCAGCTGGGTGAAAAACTGTGACCCAGCATGATCCGAAAGCATCTTGAAAACGACAGCGCACATTCAGCCGCGGCCCCACCTGCGCAGCGCAACTGCATAAACGCAAAATGATCGCGCGCAAACCCGCCTTCCCCGACTTCTGGCACATTCGACAGTACCCGGTCTCGTCAACTCTTCGGTTACACTGCAGGCTGCCGCCATCTTTCAGCTCCAGGCAGGCCATGTAGTACAAAGGCATGGCCTGCCGATTCAAATGTGTGGCACACCAACTGCATTTCTGCATCTCTCTTTCTCTCTCTCTCTCTCTCTCTCTCTCTCTCTCTCTCTCTGTCTCTCTCTCTCTCTCTCTCTCTCTCTCTCTCTCTCTCTCTCTCTCTCTCTCTCTCTCTCTCTCTCTCTCTCTCTCTCTCTCTCTATATATGTAGATGAATATACATATATATATATACACATTTAGAAACACAAACAAACAAACACATCGCGCCTCGTGGGTTTTTTTCGGAGCTGTAGCGACCCAAGTCGGCATATGAGCGTATAGGACTGCTGCTCCCTCACAGCCTGCTGCGACATCGCTGAGATCTCTGCCGAGGTCGCTCTTTGTGAAGGTCGAAGACTACCAGCTGGGCTGCTCGAATGTGAGATGTAGGTCAATCTCTGCTGGTTGCCTCCCTTGTACCACCAGGCGGCTACCCGCTGCGCCTCTGGCAAAAAGTTTGGGTTGAGTATCATGGCCTGCTTCCGCCATGGAGCCGCTTCGACAGCTCATCCACTCCTTGACCTGAACTCCTTTGAGGGCCACCACGGGGCTGCCGGCAAACTCGCGACTATCTAATCTGGCTCTGTCACCCCACAAGGTAACCAGCACGCTGTGGCCGCTGTCGTTTGCCACAGTGATCTCTCGCTTGACTAAAGCTTTTCCTTCTTTGGTCTGAAACTCTTGAGGGTGCTCCGCTGAAACGATGACTCCGCAGATATCCACGCTGCTAGGCACAGGCATCTGTGTCACTGAAGCAATCTTCTGCACGGCGAGGCGCACTGCTCCGATGTCAGCGTCGTCGTCTACCATGTGTATCTGACATCTGCCGTCGAACACCAGCTCGTGGCCATGCTTGAGCACGCTGTACTTCTTCTGGGCAGGGCGCACGCTGCCGTTGCACAGCGTGAAGCATCTTCCGCACTGCATGAGATCATAGTGCTGCTCCGCAGCTTCGTTGAACAAGCTTGCACGAATCTCGCCTCCTTCTCTATCCAGCAGCTCCACTGAGAACACCATTCCCTGCAGGCCGACCAAATCCACCAAACTCAACCAGTCACTGCAAACCTAACATATGCGAAGACTCGACAACTCCCACGAGCCTGTCCACCACCATTCTTGTTTTGGAACTGACGCAGCTGTGACCGGCTGGTCACTCTGCACTTGATGGTCCACTTCGGACCCACCCAGGTACTTAGCTCTCTGACTGGAAAAAAAGCGCGATGTTCGCTCATGCTGCAGTTTGCTTCGAGCAAAACAACTGACTAACTAAAGCCAAAACACCGGCGAGCCGCTGCCAAACACAACGTGTGAAAGACAACACCGCCCAAGCACAGCACACGGGCCGTCAACTCTCATTCTTTTCATGGCTCGGTGCTCCATTTGGACTTGTGCTGCGCGGGACCGATTCTCCGCTAGCTATTCCGCGTGGCCCAGCCTTTGGCTGGGCTACTGACCTAGCCTTCGGCTTGGCAATCCGAGCAAACCGCTCGCGCCCAAACGCTGCCGGTGCGTTTGTCTCCCAGGCGCCAGCCTCGGGAGACCATGTCTTGCTGATGGACCAAGTCGTCGTCGCCCATGATGCAATTTTTGGTGACATCCATGTCGCGGCATTGCTGGCAGACGACCGCGTACCGGTAGTAGCGAGGATCGTCCTTGGTCGCTAAAGGTTCACATGGCCATTGCTCATCTCGCACAACCAAAAACAAAACATCCCTCGTCAACTCTATGACAGCCGAGCCGCGGTGCAATAAAATGCTGTCGTCTCTGTCAGATCCCGACAAGTCATGTTGATCATCATATAATCTTTAGTCGTCACATTTACGAAATCCGACGACTCGCCTACCGGCGGATCATGTTGGGCGCAGCTTCTTTCATCCGCTCGTTTGGCCGAAGTTGCCTTGGGGGGCGGCGACTTCATGACGGCGCCTGGTGGGAACTGCCGCAGCACACATGGCGGCGGCGCCTTGGTTGGCAGATGTGCCGGCTGCACGCAGGGGGCTTTCGCC